AAAAAAGGGAGTTAATCCACACAGGCCAGATAAAATACATCCACATCTGCTCAGCACCTGGGCTGGTGGTGGAAATGTAGGGGGGAAGAGAACGTGGAGCCGGAGCATTCAGGAGCAAGTGCAGAGAGGCAGCTGTGGGTGTTCTTGGTAGAAGCAGAAAGTGTGTCTCGGCTCAGGGGAGCGCTCCCTCTTAACCCAACCTGTCAGCCCTGGAAAGAAATCGGCCGGCAGGTCAGAGGCCAGCCAGCGAAGTGTTGAAGGGAATGCAGTTCTGACACGTGGAGAGAAGTGACAGCCTCTGGGCTCAGCCCAGCCTGATGCGTGGTGGTGGGATGTAAAGTGCTGCTTGCAGGGAGGGGTGTTCTCTGCGAGCTTGGTGGGGTTCACCCTTGTTCTTCACCCCAGCAGGCTTCCTGAGGGTGGAAACAGAGGGTGGGCATGGTGGCATTTGAGCCTGTGTGTCTCTACTGGCAGGGAAACCACTGCCGTGGGCTTCTAGGGGCACAGGGCTGGGCATCCTGGGTCTGAGTCTCCACTGGCTTCCATAGATTGAATGAGTAAAGAGAGAAAGAAACATGCAGCAAAACAAAAAAGAAAAAGAAAAAATTAAAAATTAAAAAAAAGAAGAAAAAGAAAGATAAGCCTCCACAAGGCCTTGGGGCTTATAGTTGGCTAAATGGTGCCCACCCCCCCAAAAGATACGTCCATATCCTGACACCTGTGAATGTGACTGTCTCAGTCCATTCCTGGGGCTATAATGAAATACCCCTAAACCAAAACACACAAAAGAAAAAATAAAATTATCTAAAGTAATAAAAAGAAAGAAAAAGAAAAACAAATTAAAGAAAGAAATACCTCAGACTTGATAATTTATAAATAATAGAAATTTATTTCTCACAGCTCTGGGGGCTGGGAAGTCCAATCCGTGCTGGCAGATTTGGGGAGGGCTGCTCTCTGCCTCCAAGGTGATGCCTCTGGTGGGGACAAATGCTATGTCCTCACATGGTGGAAGGGCAAAAAAGGACTAATTCTCTCCCTCAACCCCTTCATAAGACATTAATTCCATCCATGAGAGCAGAGCCCCATGGCCTAATCACCCTGCAAGGGCCCCGCCCCTTGATGCCATTGCATATGATGGTATTCTGACATATGGATTTAGGAGGGACACTTACGTCCTAAGCATAGCAGTGACCTTATTTGGACAAAGCGTCTTTGTTGATGTAAATTTTTTCTTCTTCTTCTAGGTTTTTTGTAGATGTAATTAAGTTAAGGACTTTGGGATATGATCATTTTGGATTAGGGTGGGCCCTTAATCCAGTGACAAGTGACCTTATATGAGAAGAGAAGGGACAAAGCCACAGAGGAGAAGACCAAGAGAAGATGGAGGCAGAGCTTGGAGTGACAGGGCACAAGCCAAGGAAACACCAGAAACTGGAAGAAGAAAGGGAGGATTCTCCCCTAGAGGCTTCGGAGGGAGCACAGCCCTGTCGACGCCTTTATTTCAACTTCTGGCTCTGGAATGGTGAAAGAATAAATTCCTGCTGTTTTCAGCCACCCAGCTTGTGGTGACGTATGACAGCAGCCCCAGGAAACAATCACAGGCCTT